TGGAATAAATATTTTTGGGTAGATAAAGAATTCCGAATTGTCGTAAATATTTCCAAATGAATGAACGTTTTGTGTATATGTATTGAGCAAAAAAAGTGTCAAGTAATTAATATGTTTACTAAAAATCCCTAATCAGCACATCCGCTAAGTGCTGGTGTAAGATAATTAAATTTTACGACCTTTCCGTCTGAGAATGGAATGATGAGTATCATAATGTATCATATTAATAATATGTATTAGAATTGCATTGCATACATATATTTTTACAACCAGAGCAAGCTGTATTATAAATCCACACTTGTGTAATTTAATACAAAAGTAAATTTTTTTGTACTTAAAATTTAATTTTGTATTATTTCGCGAAAGACAACTGCGGGATATGACAGGACTTATATACGGGAAGTTAGTTGTTTTCGCCTATTTTAGTGCAAACTTTTTTCCGGCGGATAGTTTTGTTCTTGCCGTGAGGGTCGGCGAAAGTTACCGTCGGAAAATGAAATCAGCTAGAAAACGCAGAGCGGTACTTCGGATAGTGCATTTACGAAAATTGCTAATGTTTTGGACAGTTTGTTAGCTTTACTTGTAAGTCTTACAAGTAAACTACTATGAGCTTTGTAAAGTGAAAAGTGCGATACTTAAAAGTATATTCGAAGAAGCTTCCGACGAATAGTGAGATAGAGGCAACTGATAAATACAGTGCAAGGTACTTTGAGTCATCAAGTGTAAAAGGTAAGCGCAAATTTAAATTACCTCCAATCGAGTTAAAAAATTATTTAGAGTTTGTAGCCTAGGTTCTTTCACTTGAGACCTTAGACAAAACTTGCTGACAAATTTGCAGTGATATTGTATCCTCTTATTGAGTCACGTTTGCCAGAACATATGATTCGACTATTACATCTTGTTTCCGTGTCCATGCAAAATATCAGAGAAACTGCAGAAGTTATAACTTTAGATATTTAATTCAATTCCTTATAAGTTCCACACGTAACAATAAATACATTTTTTAGTGTTCTACATCTATTTTCAATACTTGGAAATGTTAAAACAAAACCTTCATCAGCATCTTCCTTATCTTTCCCATAAAGGGTATATTCATTATCCACTGTTCGATTTCATTCCGCTTACGCTTCCAATATCCAACAGCTACTTCTCCGACATCTAAATCTGAAGAAACCTTCTTTATTGATTTACCCTTGTCCAACCTCTTAATTGTATTCACTTTTGTTTCCAAAGGTGCAATTAAATTACTCTCTTCCGCTTTCCAGTCATATTGCACAGAAAGATTCTCTCTTACACTCACACAAATCAACTTATGAAAAATTAATTATGAAACCGAAACTAATAACTGGAATAAATTCACAAAACAGTACATAAAAGGAAAAATATTACCGTACAGATTCTTAATTTGACGATCTGAACGACACCAAACAAATCGGTAGTTAAATTCACATTGATTAACATAGAAAGGAACAGGAAGTTGTAGACAAAACACCACACAGAAATTTCTGCGCATGAAATCTCTTTCACATCAGCTTGACCTAAAGCATACCTTACAAATAATTCTCTTCTTATCAATAATCCAAAATTTTCAATTGATTGCCCATATAACAGCTGCCGATATAACTTCTGACCATCGACCCTTTTTTTATTACTCGATATTGTAATTCAACAAGTATGACTATAAAGGTAAATAAAGGTAAAACCAAGGCAAAATTTTGCCTCGGTTAACTGAGGGGCTCGGATAACCTAGACTCGGATAATCGCGAGTCTACTTAAAATATAATTTTGTATTATTTCTTCGAAAACGCAGAACGGTAGTGCATTTACGAAAACTGCTATTGTTTCCCGGGAACTCTTACAAGTAAATAATACAATGAGTTTTGTGAAGTGGAGAGTACGGTACTTAAAAGTATATTCGAAGAAGCTTCCATCTCCAATCCAAAATTACCTCCAATCGAGTTCAAAAATTATTCAGAGATTGCAGTCTAGGTTTGGCATAGAGGATTTCCAAATTGAAGTTTACATTGAGAGCTCTCAAAGTTAATTTTAAGTCGAGTTTCTTAGTAATATATATATATATATATATATATATATATATATTATATATATATATATATATATATATATATATGTAATAGTAATATTTCTGCTCTTTATGATATGATTGATAGTCAACTTCGTTCACTTGAGACCTTAGACAAAACTGCTGACAAGTTAGCGGCGATATTGTATCCTTTTATTAAGTCATGCCTGCCAGAAAATATGATTCGACTATGGCATCTTATGTTTTCGTGTCCATAGAAAATATTGGAAAAACTGCAGAAGTTACAACTTTAAAAACACCCTTTAGAGTGGGTTAATGACATTTTTACAGAGTGAAGTTTAAAATAAAAAAAAAAAAAATTGATTTAGCAACGGAAGGTTTTCGTTTACTGGCTGAAAATGAATATAAATTCAATAGTCTTATTGCCAAGATAAATGTAAAATTACAAAGAACTGATCAGCCCTTAGCGTCCGCTGATGGGTTAATAAATTATGAGGTTTACAGGTGTATATTTTTATTATAAGTAATTTTTTGTACTTGAAATAAGTTTAGCTTTTTACAAAACTAATATGCACAATTTAAAATGTTTACAAAACTAAAAAAACAACACAAAAAAAAAAACAAAACAACAATTTAACTTCAAAGGTAAATGAACCTCAACGCAACACGATACAAAAATTAAAAAAATATATGGAATGATGCAATCCAAAAATTAGTATTTGTGAAACTTCAAAAATAATACGATAGCTAATTTCAACTTACATTTCAGAAGTCTGCCGACCGTGAGCGAACTATACCGATTCTCCCGATCGTATATTATATTTTAAGTTTTAATTCTTGGCCTCATTGGCAACACTGTCGCTGTTCAGATAATTAAATTTCGAGAAAATCAAAATATTAAAATATGATGCACGTGCTACCATCTATTTAAAAAATTGTTAAACGTTAGTTTATTTGAACACCGCTCATTTTAACTGCGGCGTGAACATACCCCTTAAAAGGTTTGTATAATAACAATTATTTTGGACTCTCAAGATTGGAAATATGTATTTGATATGACAGTGACTTAACCACTGAGCAGTATTGAAGAAAAGATCTAACCAAGGATATATAAATTGATCTTGAAATTGATTGAATTGATCTGATTGAAAAAAAAAAGTCTCAATATATCAACTCTCAGTAATTCTTCACATAAAGGTTTTCGCGAAACTATGTATTCGTTTTTAATGGACAACACATTCTACAGTGTTGATGGATTTTTAAATTTTTAACATTCCTGCAACAATAGTTCTAAATTTGTATTTGTAACTTTAATTTCTTATTTATTTTATTTCTGTTTTATTTTAATTTTATTTTATTTTAATCATGTGCACTTTTGCTATATATTGTACTCTTTTGTACTAAAATTTTGACTAGTCCGATAAGATTTATACATTTTTTTTTTTTTGTAAGAATTGTGTAAACTTTGTGGATGAATAAATTCTATCTACCTATCTATCTATCTAATAGACTAAAGAAGCTATTCATTCTTCTAGATAATCTTATGAAATGACACATTTTTACATTATTGATCATTTGATTCAGGTTGCACCACTCCATGTGCATAATATTATCTAGATCAATTTAAACTTCCTCACAATCTGAGATAAATTTGAGAATTCTATAAATTTTTAGACTATCAGCAAATAATGGGAACTGTAAGAAGACTAACTGAGATTTAATGTCATTGACGAATATATTAAAAATGATAAAGGTATGATATCCAAAGGAAAAATAATAACTTAGAAATTTGAATACAAGCAAAGAATTAGGGCTTAGAAATCCACTAAAAACAATAGAAAACCCACAGCAGCCAATAAATGCATAACAAAGAATTATTAATGTTCTATCTTCTATTAATAATGCACAATAATATATTAATCATTAAATGAAGTATTAATAAAAGATATAGAATCTCAAATGTTAACAAAATCAAGGTATTTGTAGCAAAAACCAAATAAAAATGTGTAAAACAAGCTTGAGACCAAATGCCTGCTTTACTAGTAAGGCTAGGGCTATAATAAAAGTTGAAAAATCATTACACTCATCTCATGAAAAATACAGATGCTAACAGCTGTATGTACAGCTGTCTGTACTGACAAAATAGAAGGAGCAATGAGGATATCCAGAAATATAGAACAAGATATGGAACCTACTATAATTATCTTCATAATACCTCACAATATCTATCTGGGATATACTTAATATTCATAATAAATTTGAAGTTGTATAAGAATATCTTGTATGCTTAATATAGAAAAATAGCAAAACTTTAATGGTTGTACTTTTTTCGTAATGAACCCAGCTCCTACTAAGGCATGGAGAAAGGTATGATAAGATTCCACAAAACGGAGAAATGATATAACATAAAGATGAATTTGAAAATTATAATTAGGTACCTCAAATTAAAAGAAAAATACAATAAAAAACAGAAACAGTCTGGTACAAAATTGCAGATCAAAGTACAACATGGGGAAAAATTAAAAACAAAGAATATAGTCTATATTCTTTGGTAAAAATATGAATAATACACATTAGGTCTTAAACAGTCAACTAACAATTAACTCAGAAACAATACACTGCGAAAAATAAAGCTCTAAAACGTCTGTATTTAGTTTCTCATAAATATAATATGTAAACTCATTTAGAAAACAGTCAAGTCCTGCTTTTTTAACAAATTTACATATATACTCTTCTGAAAAATGATAGTCTCAATATAATTTATAGTAGCAGAGTCTACCAGACTTGGCTCACTAAAAATTCGCAAATAGTGCCAAAAAGACACCAATACATAATATTTTAATTTCTGTTCTAAATTAAATCCCTGTTGAAACAAACAAATAGCTTGTTAATCCAAAGTTGCTTAAACACTGTACTATGTATTGTAATAATCTATGTAAAGTAAATAATTACTTACCAACCACAAATACTAAAATTTGAGTGACATGGGTACCTCCTATTCTACCCGACTTCTACACACCATTTAAAAACAAACTTCTTATGTTGATAATAACGCGAAACAAAAAGACTTTTACACATCTTTTGGTCTAACAACACTGGCGAAAACTATATACAACATCAACATTTAAAACTAATCACACGAATATTTGTTTTATAATTATGGGAAAAGTTTTCGATCTCGATCTACAAAGCAAATGGCAGGTGACATTTAAATTTTGTTTGGGAGTGTGATTGCTTATTACGACTGTGGGTCCGAGAAAGATCGAGAAAAGTACATATGATTAGCTAAAAAGAGAACATACAACTGATGGGACTAAATTGAACGCAAGCCAAAAGAAACTGAAGTTGACATTTGGCATTTAAAAAATGATTCTGTTTGCCAATAGATTGCCAGTTTTACGTTTACCAATTATGCACAGAGTACATAGCCCTCTAGTAATGTAAGTCGCATAGACAGATTTCGGAGAGAGTTTCTAGCGCCAAAAGCGGACGGGCCAAAACTAATTGTATTTAGCGGCAAATTTAAAACATAGGTTTTAAATAATTAGGTGCTGTTCTTACCTGATGCTTGTAAAAATAAACTCCTAATCAGAGCATATACCCCCTGTAGTATATACTCTGCTCCTAATCCTCAGAATTCTCAATAGCCCTTCATCCACCTTTAACTAACTTTCACGCATCCAGAAAAAATAAGTATTATTTTATTTTTTTCAATTTGGAATTCTATAGCATTTTGGTATTGTACCTTTTTCTCGTTTAACAATGTTTATTAAATGTATAAAAAATTGATGTACACTGTTTTTATCTCCTATTTCTAAAATTCGAAATACAATTACAACGTAGTTCTCTGTTTTGATAAGGCCATTTGCAATTTGCAAAAGCGTGGATTACAATGTTGCCACTAATACATTTTTCTTTCGGTGGATACTCAAAATTATTTAAAAATAAGTTATTGTATATTTATTTTAGTAACAATTGCTATAATATTTGTTTTTTTTTAAACATTATATAGTATAATCAAAGAATATAGACGCTTAAGCGTCTATATTCTTTGGTATAATCAATATTTGGGTAAATAAGCAAAACTAGTGAAACCATGGCAACAGCACTTACATCAACGTCATACGCCTCTTTTATGTCATACCTCCACATAACACTAGCGTCTAAACAACATACCAACAAATCAGGCGATTCGGTATCGATATCAAATTCAGATCGATACAATCGAATTAAATTTAGTAGCTCGGAGTGCTGGTTATGTATGTCATCGGGAGAACAATAACATAACCATAACCTAAATTATTAGAAAATGGTAATTGTGACTTAAATAAATGGAAGAATTAAAATTATTTAAATTAGTTGCAACACATAGATTACCTATGTGTTTTAGGTAAAAATGCATTGCCTAAAAAGCAGTGGAATTTTTCCCAACAGGTATTCAGTTGTCTGTTATAATCTATTAGTAACTCATAATGTTTTTAAACTTATAAGTAAGATTTTTGTTGCAATCACGGAAATCGCACAATCCACACTATTTTCTCCATTCTTTGGACTTCACATTTTTTTGGATTTTTCATTGAAATTTTTCTTACATACCGTACAAGGCATATTTACTAGCAACTTTGTATACTCTTGGGGCAAGGTGTTCCCCATGAAACTTTCTAATATGTTGCCAATATAATTTTTTGCAAATGTTTTGCAACAAGTTGGGCATTCCATATTTAAAAAAAAATGAGTTTAAAAATAATATGTGTAAGGATTTATATTAACAAAACAAACACAAGTATTTGACTTTGACACTTGACAAACACAGTAGGAAATACGATTCGATTTGAATGAATCGATATCGATCTGCCTGATTTGTTGGTATGCTGTCTAGACGCTAGTCCACATAACACCTAACGTGACTAGTAGCGCCGTCACCATTACAAACGGCTGGACCCATACAATTCGCTCTCCCACCTTGTCTTATACCACTTACACTACTATTTCTGGTATATACTGTGATTAGGCATTTATAAATGTAATTTTAAAAAATACTATTTTTAATGTCTTTAAGATATACATAATAAATAATTTTGTGTTTATAAAATATATACTGTGATTATAGTTTAAATGTAACTACCAAATAAATATAACACAACTAGTTATCCAGATTAACAGTAAAAAAACCAAATAAATATTTGTATAGAATATTTTAGCTATAGAGTTAAAATGTATGTTCGACTTATGCATATATTCGGCATATGAATTATAATATCGTTAATTTGTGGAATAAATGGAATATTCGTAATGTCTAATAATTATTGTTTATGACGGAATATCCAAGAAAGCTTTCTAGTTTTGTGGGATAAGGAAAAGGAGAGATTTTATAAAGAATAAAAACATCCTTTATTTTATCGTTTGCTTCCAGAATAGTTGGCTTAATAAATACATGCACATTCATTGAACTGTGCGCTTTATTTTAATTGTTTAATAATTTAAAAATTAATATTGTTGAAATCTCCATTTTTATAGTTTGAACAGAAAATCCGTGAATCCGGCAACGTTGCAGTTGACAATAATATTGCAATCACATAATAAATGTCTTCATAATTTTTTAGCTGACCTACATTTTATGAAATAAAATTATATTCTAAATATTGATTCTTTTTTAATCTTATTCACGTCTCTTTATTATGAATATTCTAAATATTTTGAACATAACTTTTATTGGCAAAATTTTCGTTTATACCTTATTTGTCAGACCTTGAAAGATGACAGGACCCAGGAAGTGGGAGGTTGGCTGGCAGGTGAAAGCTTAAAAACTTGATTCTCCAAAAAAGTACATTACAAAAAGACCCATGAAACCATTAAAAAATGATATGATCGTTAATTGCTAACATGGGATTTGAAATTAACAGGTTTCAAGGAACAGTAGATGAAGAACTTGTATGCCCTATATGTTCAGGTGTTCTGGAAGACCCCATTCAGGTATAGATATGTTGTCTTGTTAAAGTTTATGATTTTATGTAATGTATGTATGTAATCATATTCGTCAATTTAGATGTCCAACAAATCTGTTACTTTTTATTAAGATTTTAATATAGTTTTTTTGCTTTTCTTTTGATATATAGGGGGTTTGTTGCTTGTAATATTAAGATTCTCATTTAGACAGTGTTTCCTTAAATATAGTCACAATCAGAACCAATTGGAAATTGGTTTGATGCAGCGTTAAAATACAAAATCCGTCATTTTTAGAACATTATAAAGTGAGTAGGAAGCCATACATAACAAATATTTCAAATTTCTGCATATATTTAGAGTCATCTTTTACCTTTAGCATTACCAAATAAATTATTTCAACTGTTGTTTTGTGGATTTTCTAAATATTTTCCATTGCTTTGGCAAGTACAATTTTTGTTTGAAATTTGTTGTCATTGGTTTTAGAACTGTTTAAAAATTGTATGCAATACCAAATATGGAGCCTTGCAGCTGCAATAATTTGAGTATTTCAAATGGTATCTTTTATTTTAGGCTTTAGTTTGTGAACATGCATTTTGTAAGGCATGTATAACAGAATGGATATCCAGACAGCCCACTTGTCCAGTTGACAGACAGATTGTGACTTCACCACAGTTGCGCCCAGTGCCAAGAATCATTAGAAACTTACTTTCGAGGTAATATTAAGTATTGTTTAATCTACACATACATTAGAGATTTTTTCCAAGATTCGTGAATTGTCCACATAAGACCATCAATAATAACAAATTAGAAAAATGATTTAATAATAAAATCTTCATTAAAAATAAAAGTTAAAATCTCTTGATTCACAGTTAGGTTTCATAACTTGAAATTATTTATATCTTTTTAATTTAATCAAGTAAATTATGATCATATTGAAACCCAACTTGGTATTCTCTTATTGTACAATTGAAAATTAATTACAAATGCAACGATGCTTTATGGTATAATTAATTCTACAGTGTTGTGTCCTCAGCTAGTTGAGCAGGTTGGTCTGCATGTACCTCTACGTAGAACATGATTAAACCAAACTTTTTATGTCCTTCTTCACAGAACCAACTATGTGTATGATAATTTTTTATCTTGAGCACTAAGATAGGCAAATATTTACCCAGATCTAGTTTTTTTCGAATTCTTGTTCTTTGCACCGAAGGCCGAATTCATTTGTGGTCTCAGGCATGTGTTTATTTGAGTGGCTGGAATAGGTAATCATCATTTTGATGTGTAAAACTAAATTAAGTAATTAAGTTTGTGATATTTATACCTTTATTATTGTGATATTTATGCTTATATTTATTTGTTTTATTGTATACATTGTAAACATTGTTAATCTTATTGGGAGCAGTCCATTGAAAATAAATAAATTAATATAGAAAATAATGTTTGAAGAATCATTCACACTGATGCCAAATATGCGTTTCTGTGGGCAGTTCAAACTTTCTGTTGCAGAAAATTTTGTGGTTTTGCAGCAGTGGATCATTTTTGCCCACACTGAGGCTTCAGTGAAGGTTTTGGAACCACAGTATTAGATTTTTTTATCCCATCAATATCTATTTTTTAATTTTATTACTTACAATTTCTTAATTTAAAAATTGACCTTCTTTATTTCTTGTAGACTTTGTATTACTTGTGATAACGCCCAGTATGGGTGTACCCGCGTGCTAAAACTGGATGCTCTAACCGCACATTTAGAAGAATGCGAACACAACCCCAAAAGACCACTACCTTGCGAACAGGGTTGTGGTCTTATCATCCCCAAGGACGAACTAAAGGATCATAATTGCGTCAAAGAATTACGAGCATTGATACATACACAACAACAAAAATTAAATGAATTTCAACAGGAGATTACCGAACAGAGATTTTTATTGGCTGAGCAGAGAAGAGAGATGCAGTTGCTTAAAGTAAGTAATGAGAAACTCATTCATGTATATATGTATTTAAAATAATTATAATATTGTTAGGATTTTATGCGAGCAATGAGGATCTCGAATCCCTCAATGAGGGCAATTGCTGATGCTATGGAGAGAGATGAAGTACTGCGCTGGAGTAATTCCTTGCAAAGAGCCAGGGTAACTAGATGGGGTGGGATGATCTCAACGCCAGATGAAATTTTACAAGTAAGTGCTGTTTTTGATTACTAAACATGATATTTTGCTACTATTAAACATACAGTAGATACAGGAACAGAGTCTGTGTTGTGAACAGGCACATTGTTGTGTTCTCTTTCCATATTTCAGACATCTTTTTGTGTATTTTGATAGAACATTGTGGTACCCATTCCTTGTGAACAAAAACCTGTATATTGAAGAAACCAATCAACATCTTCTTGAATTTAGACTTGCTCATCCTCACTCTTTTGACTCTTAAAGAGTTTAGGGTGTTTCACTACATGGATTGTCACTTGGTTTCAGTCATATTGAAAAATTCATATTTTATTACAGGTTATGACGCTCTGAGTAATTTTCAATGCATTTCAGGTTACTAGAATAATGTTTTTTGTTCCATAGTTAAGAGTCTGGACATAATCTAGTTTCTCATGTATAATTTATTTGTGCATGAGTCACAGTTTCTTTATTTTAATGTCCTTATGGTCATCAATATAACCATTGCAAATTCATCTCTATCTTCTGCTTTTCTTAAAGGTGTCAAAAATTTGAATAAATTAGAGTTTAAAACTGGTATAAATTTCATCAAATATGGTTGGAATCTAAAATTGTTTGCCCTTCAACTAGGGGTCTTTTAAAATTCCCTATCAAATTTTTCGACATCTTTCAAAACAAGTGCTGCCGCGTATAGTCGTTTGAGAACGTGAGTATCACTTGTTTCCACACCACATCAAGTGTCATTTTTATTTATGTCATCACTTATATTGGAAGCCATTTTCATTTTATTATCAACTGCCTATTATTTACTCTTTTTCTAATTTCACTAATTTTCACTTTATTCAGTTCGTATTTGTTCCCTTTTTTACATCTTCAAGTTTTGATCTACCACAGCTTTCCAAAATTCACAAGACTTGCCATAAAGAACATCAAGTTCAGATTTGATGTTTTTTAAGTCGAAACCAACTGGAAATATACCAAATAATGCATTTTTCATCCGCCATTATTACAATATGTAGCTTATTTCAGTAGGGTAAATGCATATAAGAGTACGCACTTAATATTAAAAGTGCGACATTTTTTTATTTTTACGAAAATGGACTATTTATCATTTCTCACATTGTTAATCAACAATTTAAAAAGGTAAACTGCGTTATAGTTCTTTTCCATCATATTGATAGCACATTATGTATGCAAATCCTCAACAGGTCAAAAATCCATAGGCGTCACCCTATACTTGTTTTGAAATAAATAAAAAAAATTAATATTTTAAGATGCCGTCAACAATTAATTATCTTTTAAAAAATCTTCTGTAAAATAAGTGTCCACTAATCTCACTATACCTTTTTTGTGCGTAAAAAACGTCGGTATATATGCCACACGATTATTGTTAATTATACACGGGTGATTAACGAGAGAATTCAATGTTTCACGAAATAAATTAATGTAAACAGTAATTTAAAGGTGATTATTGTTTTCTATACAAGTTCGCTACACAAAAAGCATACCTTCTTTTAACAATTACCTGGAATTACTGATAAGGCTTCACTAATGATAGTTTAAGTAGTTTTTATGCCACATTACAGCTTATGTCAATAATATAAATTAGAAATTGTTTGCATCTTCCATTTAGTTTGTAGATGTACATTGTTCATGTTTTACCTACCTACGTTTTTGGTGTAAAGAATTAAATCTTTTAGCGAAAGCCACTATCGCTTTATGTATTAAATGGCCAACTATATGGCCTAGGAGACAAATTCGTTAAACTTCCCGTGCTCGAATTGGTATCACTAAAGTGTTATGATCATTTCGGCCTATCCCAGCCATCGTCAGACACTTGGGCTGATACAAATTCAAACTCGGAAAGTAAAACGAATGTCTCCCAAATCTTCACTACCGTGTAGTTAGCTTATAAAGGCGCCCTCTACTTTGAAGGCCGTGAACGAAACGATATGAATAATCGTTTTCTGTATCCTTTATGCTATGCGAAATGTGTAAAGAATTAAATCTTTTAGCGAAAGCCGCTATCGCTTTATGTATTAAATGGCCAACTATATGGCCTAGGAGACAAATTCGTTAAACTTCCCGTGCTCGAATTGGTATCACTAAAGTGTTATGATCATTTCGGCCTATCCCAGCCATCGTCAGACACTTGGGCTGATACAAATTCAAACTCAGAAAGTAAAACGAATGTCTCCCAAATCTTCACTACCGTGTAGTTAGCTTATAAAGGCGCCCCCTACTTTGAAGGCCGTGAACGAAACGATATGAATAATCGTTTTCTGTATCCTTTATGCTATGCGAAATGTGTAAAGAATTAAATCTTTTAGCGAAAGCCGCTATCGCTTTATGTATTAAATGGCCAACTATATGGCCTAGGAGACAAATTCGTTAAACTTCCCGTGCTCGAATTGGTATCACTAAAGTGTTATGATCATTTCGGCCTATCCCAGCCATCGTCAGACACTTGGGCTGATACAAATTCAAACTCGGAAAGTAAAACGAATGTCTCCCAAATCTTCACTACCGTGTAGTTAGCTTATAAAGGCGCCCTCTACTTTGAAGGCCGTGAACGAAACGATATGAATAATCGTTTTCTGTATCCTTTATGCTATGCGAAATGTGTAAAGAATTAAATCTTTTAGCGAAAGCCGCTATCGCTTTATGTATTAAATGGCCAACTATATGGCCTAGGAGACAAATTCGTTAAACTTCCCGTGCTCGAATTGGTATCACTAAAGTGTTATGATCATTTCGGCCTATCCCAGCCATCGTCAGACACTTGGGCTGATACAAATTCAAACTCGGAAAGTAAAACGAATGTCTCCCAAATCTTCACTACCGTGTAGTTAGCTTATAAAGGCGCCCTCTACTTTGAAGGCCGTGAACGAAACGATATGAATAATCGTTTTCTGTATCCTTTATGCTATGCGAAATGTGTAAAGAATTAAATCTTTTAGCGAAAGCCGCTATCGCTTTATGTATTAAATGGCCAACTATATGGCCTAGGAGACAAATTCGTTAAACTTCCCGTGCTCGAATTGGTATCACTAAAGTGTTATGATCATTTCGGCCTATCCCAGCCATCGTCAGACACTTGGGCTGATACAAATTCAAACTCGGAAAGTAAAACGAATGTCTCCCAAATCTTTACTACCGTGTAGTTAGCTTATAAAGGCGCCCCCTACTTTGAAGGCCGTGAACGAAACGATATGAATAATCGTTTTCTGTATCCTTTATGCTATGCGAAATGTGTAAAGAATTAAATCTTTTAGCGAAAGCCGCTATCGCTTTATGTATTAAATGGCCAACTATATGGCCTAGGAGACAAATTCGTTAAACTTCCCGTGCTCGAATTGGTATCACTAAAGTGTTATGATCATTTCGGCCTATCCCAGCCATCGTCAGACACTTGGGCTGATACAAATTCAAACTCGGAAAGTAAAACGAATGTCTCCCAAATCTTCACTACCGTGTAGTTAGCTTATAAAGGCGCCCTCTACTTTAAAAGCGCTATCGCTTTTAAAGTATCGCTAAAAGCGATAGCGGCTTTCGCTAAAAGATTTAATTCTTTACACATTTCGCATAGCATAAAGGATACAGAAAACGATTATTCATATCGTTTCGTTCACGGCCTTCAAAGTAGAGGGCGCCTTTATAAGCTAACTACACGGTAGTGAAGATTTGGGAGACATTCGTTTTACTTTCCGAGTTTGAATTTGTATCAGCCCAAGTGTCTGACGATGGCTGGGATAGGCCGAAATGATCATAACACTTTAGTGATACCAATTCGAGCACGGGAAGTTTAACGAATTTGTCTCCTAGGCCATATAGTTGGCCATTTAATACGTTTTTGGTATCGATATTTTGTTATTTGCATTTAAAAATGGCGTCGACAACAGGTTTTATCCCGGTTAAAGTGTAGTTTTAAAGGTACCTTCAGTCTAAGAGAGAAGAAAATATAATATTAAATGTACATGATGCACTTGTACATCAACGCCCTTTAAGTAATGTTCGTGAAATCGTTAACATGTGTTCAAATATGACAGGGGTTGGAGAAGCAACAATTTATAGATTCCTAAAAGAAAGAAAAGGAGGAACTGTTTCATCTCCCAAGAAGAGTGGAGGGAGTAAACCCTTGGAAATTGAAGAAATACATAAAAACATGATAAGACGCAGCGTCCACTCATTTTTTTTTTAACAAAGAATTTCCAACATTGGACAAAATCCAAACATTAATTAGAGAAAACGAAGAGTTACCAATCATAAGCAACAAGAAATTATGGGGACTATTGAGAGAGATGGGATTTCGTTGGCAAAAGAATAGAAGAAAATCCGTTTTAATTGAAAAAGATTACATTGTATGTTGGAGACGAGATTATCTAAGAACTATTAAAAAGTACCGAGAAGAAGGGAAAACAATTTTTTATTTGGACGAGACTTGGCTAAATGAAGGTCATACTGTACCATATCTATGGGTTGATACAAATGTGAAAAGTTCCCGTCAGGCATTCATCGAAGGTGTATCTACTGGAATAAACAATATTCCCGTTGGAAAAGGACGCAGACTCATAATAACCCATATTGGAAACGAATACGGTTTTGTCAATGGTGGATTATTAAGTTTTGCCTCAAAATCAACCAAAGATTACCACGAGGAAATGACTGCTGACGTTTTTGAAGAATATTTTGAGCAAATGTTGGATTTAATTCCAAAAAATTCTGTCATAGTCATGGATAATGCTAGTTACCATTCAAGACTAGCAGAAAAATTGCCAACAACGGCATGGAAAAAAGGAGAGATAATCGAATGGTTGGATAAACACGCAATTGAGTACAAGGAGAATTCGACAAAAAAGGAATTATTACCTATTGTAAGGCAACATAAAGCAGCTTATAAAAAATATATAATTGATGAAATGGCATTAAACCGTGATGTAATTATTTTACGTTTACCCCCATACCACTGTGATCTGAATCCGATAGAAAATATATGGTCTCAAGTAAAGGGTGAAGTCGGACGCAACAACAAAACTTTTAAATTAGAAGACTTACAACAATTATTAGAACATTCCTTATCAAAAGTAACTCCAGAAAATTGGAAAAATGCTGTTAGTCATGCTCACAAGGAAGAAAATAAAATGTGGAATTTGGATAATATGACTGATGCAATGCTGGAACCGGTAATAATTAACATTGGAGTTGAAGATTCCTTAGATTCTGAAGAAAGCAGTGAATCTGAAATGGAATTTGATTAAAATAATATTCATTTTTTTTACAAATCGCCCCTGTTACGGCCACAAATTATTTTATATATAACCAATAAAATAAACATCTTACATTTCTTGCAAATTCATTAGTACCTGTTAATCTCCATCACTCCGACACTGGCAACTTTATTTAGGGATTAGTAACCCTCAAAACTATTGTATTCTATTCTGCTTCAACCTTTATACCTGGTGGTCATACTCAATTTAAAATTGTTTTCCTATATACTTCTGTAAACTTGTTGACAAATATCTATTTTTCATTGAGTCACCCGTATCAACAGTTTAGGGATTTGCATACATAATGTGCTATCAATATGATGGAAATGGACTATAACTGCATACTCTTATACATATATGCATTTTGTGATTTTAAAGAGTTTATTACGAAAACAGATTTACTGCCCATTCTTTTTAAAGCAATCACTATTTCATATAAATGCAGTCTAAAATTATTTTCTACAAAACTGATGGTTTGCTTACCTCTCAATTGACTAAATTGTGAACATACAAAATTATAAATCTGCACGGCAACTATTTGCAGCGACCATATAGACAAAACTAGGACGATAATGCAGATTTCTGTTTATGACCGTGCAGTAGGAATGTATTTAGAATGCCTTCAAGTAAAAATTACTTTAATAGATGCCGATCCTATATTAAAAATAATAGGTGCGTACTCTTAGACACATGCGTGCTCTTATACACACTTACCCTATATATTCGATTATTAAACACTGAAATCATGACGAAATATTTTAGAGAATGATTAAAAGGACGTTAAACGAAATGGGTTGTCCGCCGCACATTCTCGACGATCTCATGGAGAACTGCCACGAACGCAGATGGCCCCCAGGGCTGTGTTCGTTAGAGACTCGACAAAACAACCGCCGACAATACGAAAACTATGTTTGTAAGAGGGTGCCTGGCAAACAGGCCGTTCTGGTGCTATCCTGCGATAACGGACACATGGGCGAGGACATGATGGTTGAGCCGGGCTTGGTCATGATTTTCGCGCACGGAATCGAGTAAATTCGTTCTTTGTGAATTGCGAGGAAGTAAGTTGTAATATAGGTCTGGGTGTGTGATTTTATGAGTACTTACAAACAAATTTAAGTTATTAAGATTAAGTATGATTTTGGGCTCTGAGCAGAATTGTATGTTACTGCGGAGGATAAAATTAGTAATATGGTTGATAGCTCCGGTGCAAATTATGAAGGTGAGAATCTAGGAAGATTTGGGTAAGTTTGACATAAAAATCACTCTAAAAAAAACTTATCCCTTTAGTGGCATACACTTCAGAATAATAAACTATAACAAGCTTTAATACAGCTACCGAGGATACACTAGTCCTGTTTTGTAAAACAGATCACTTATCACTTAGTTGTTTTTGAGTTGTTTTTTAAATAAACTAATTTTTGGAGTCAAAAATATTTATTTGTCTTGGCAGGCTATGAGCACTCCGGGCCAATAGTGTGGTCGTTTCATTGATATCATAATTAGTATGGTGAAATAGAACTGAAAGTAGTAAAGAAATAATAAATAAGACTTACTCACAATCAATTTAATTTAACTATCAGACGACCGGTTTCGCTTTCTACAATATGCAAAGCATCTTCAGGTCTCGATACAAAGTTAAACAAATGCTGAAATGATAAAAACCCATATTAGGGTGTTGTCTAATAAAGATAAACAAATTAGATGTTATAAATTACAATAATTATGCCAATATTACATGTCTGTGGTTTTATTTAAATGATTGAGTTGAATAAAAGGTATAAAATTTTTTTAAAAAGGTTAAACAGACAAGGTAAGGCCCACAAATTGTTATAAAATCTCTTCTATTGTAATAAATTAATAAATGAGCAAATAAATAAATAAAATAAAAATTACTTACATGCCGGTACTCTATTAATAGATGGATGGTAGAACATGTTTGAAACTACTTTATATTGTTGAATGGAGAACTCAATACTATTATTACTGTCAAACAACTGCAATAATAGTATTGAGTTCTCCATTCAACAATATAAAGTAGTTTCAAACATGTTCTACCATCCATCTATTAATAGAGTACCGGCATGTAAGTAATTTTTATTTTATTTATTTATTTGTTCATTTATTAATTTATTACAATAGAAGAGATTTTATAACAATTTGTGGGCCTTACCTTGTCTGTTTAACCTTTTTAAAAAAATTTTATACCTTTTATTCAACTCAATCATTTAAATAAAACCACAGACATGTAATATTGGCATAATTATTGTAATTTATAACATCTAATTTGTTTATCTTTATTAGACAACACCCTAATATGGGTTTTTATCATTTCAGCATTTGTTTAACTTTGTATCGAGACCTGAAGATGCTTTGCATATTGTAGAAAGCGAAACCGGTCGTCTGATAGTTAAATTAAATTGATTGTGAGTAAGTCTTATTTATTATTTCTTTACCTATTTGAAATGGACTCACACAAGCAACACATTCATGATTAGAACTGAAAAGATTTCCGATTCTCTGTTGTTTCCGATTGTCTATAATAGCATTAATGACTTTGTGCAGGAAACATAAATCTAACAATGTCCTCCTTTATTTAAGTATTGGTAAATTAAGACTGTCTCTTACCACTATAGTCATATTCTTCTCTCCGGTTTCCACTCCTAAAAGCTGCTATCCTCAAAAACCTATTTTGGATCCTTTCAATCTGTTCAATGTAACGGTTATATGATGGGGACCATACAAATGATCTATATTCTAGAATTGACCTAATTAGACCACAATAAAGTCTTCTAAATGTGAACGTAGACAGGTGTACAGATGTGCTTTAGATAAATCACAGGACTTTCATTGCCCTGTTCGATAGTTGATTGGTGTTGTTTGAGAATAATAGTTTGGTGTCTAACCAGATTCCCAAGTCTGATACTTCATTTTTAGAGGCTAATGGCAAGCTATTTATAGAGTTAACAAATGTAATTGATGTTCTTCGCCCCGAAAATGTCATTTTATGACATTTGCATATGTTAAGCGACATTTTGTTTAAACTGCATCAATCATAAACGATTTAAGATCTTCCTGTAATAGAACAGCATCATTCCGGGATCGAATTTTTCTAGACAGTTTTACATCGTTAGCAAAAATAAGAACACCACAATTTTTGATTTTTTTGTACTTAATCGACTAGAGACAAGCAAAATAAAACAGGGTCACAATGGGACACTTGCGGCACTCCTGGTGGTACCAATTGAGGGATAACTCCGTTTTAGCTATGATTAATACACCCCCTCCACGTGCCTTTACATTGTTTGACCCCACTTCTCGATCAAATCTATAAATGTCATACTCTGGAACTCCCAACCCGAAGTCAACATCTGCAAGCATTACTATATCATAGCAGTAACAACTCAAAGCTTGCTGAAAACTCTTAACATTCCTAAAATGTTGTCTTTGAGCCAAATGTCCGGCCTCTAAATCTTCCTTGTCATCCCGATGGATGGTTATTTTGAAAAAGAGATATTTGTTCACTGGTAAGGCTTCAATTTTAAATCTTTAATATTTGGACTTTGCTTCTTACCATGTTTTTAGCTTTAGGAACAGAACTAGCAAAATTTTCATCTTATTGGAAATTCTCTTGGCCCAAAAACGAAGTTTTGGTCATTTCTCCAGGTTTTTCTTCACTGTACCAGGATAAATTCTTGGTCATTATCAGCAGAATCTTTGTTTTTCAAGTTTGCTTTGTTTACGTTTACTTCTTTTTCTCGATGTTTTCCCTGGCCCAAGGTCCTCTGGTCTTTTTACCAGTGGGAATCAGAAGAAGAATTGGTAACGTTAGTTTTCTCTGTTTGGGCACTTGATGTCGACCTGTCATTGTAGGACGGGAAGTCGGCGTTGCCGTGTTTACCGAATTTCTGAAGTGCTCTGATATAGCTTCGAAGTATCACTAACTCCTTGTTGCTATCGATCACCATTTTAGACTTGATTTCAAGCTTTTTCTGAAGACTGTTCCAAAATCCTCATAGCCTCAGTAAGTTCACATTTTACCATATCTTTTATGGCATCTGATAATTGTGGAACGAGCAATTTGTCATTATCTACGTTCCTAATGGGACCATCAATTTTAGAGAACTGTCTTAAGCAATCTTTACACCATATTATAATGGTTCTGGTTTTAACAATTGCACATCTTATTTCTTGAGAAGAAATCTTGCTACACTCTTTACGTGATACCTTCTTGCAATTATCACATGTACATCCAAACAACAGAGTTTTACTCTCTGTAAAATAACAGGTCTGGTCACAAGATCCGCAATTTAGCTCATTCACTGCTAAAGAAACTACGAATAGAATAATTGGCAACGCTGTAAATTACTGTATCCTCAATAAAAACAAATATCCGGGCGAACTTCACGATTTTCATAAGTATTTCACTAAAATTACTAGCACAAAACAACAATTAATATTGAGTTAGCTATCAATTGCAAGTACGAGGTGTGTTCAAAAAATATTCATTTATTCGTTTACATTAATATTGTCTTCTTCAAAGTAATCCCCATCAGATATAATGCACTTGTGCCAACGCTTCTGCCAATCCTTGAAACACTTCTCAAACTTGATCTTTGGGACAGCCTTTAGTTCTATCAGCGATGCGCTTGTTTTTGGAAATAGGAAAAAGTCACACGGACCCGTATCTGGCTAATATGGAGGCTGGGGCATCATTACAGTATTGTTTTTGCCAAAAATTCACGAACATTGTTTTTCCAAAAATCTGGTCTTTCTTTTCGGATTGGAATTGAACTTGTAGGTAGTACTTTTTATTGACCGTTTGAACTGGAGGCAAAAATTCATGGTGCATTATGCCATTAAAATTAAAAGAACACAATGAGCATAACCTTTACTTTCGACCGCACTTGTCGAGCCTTTTTTGGTCTTGGTGAACCAGAATACCTCCACTGGGACAATTGAACCTTTAGTTTCGATCTCATACCCATAAACCCATGTTTCTTGACCTATTATAACACTTTTGAGTAAATCTGGGTCGTTTACGTCATTAAGTGACTCCTGAGCAACTTCTATTCGCCGCTGCTTTTGTCAAAATTTAACAATTTTGGAACAAATTTTGCTGACACGTGTTTCATACGAAAAACCTTTGAAAAAATGTCATGGCATGGGCCAATTGATGTGCTAACTTTATCAGCGACTTCTCTCATTGTAATTCGGGTATTATTTGAACAACCCTCATATACACGTATCAACATGAATACAGGCGATCCTCACCGCACGCCCAAAAAAACGTGCGAAAAACCTCGATTTCTCACATACATAACTTGCATAAATCTCACGTTGTCAACTTTTATATATCAAAGATTACAATACATTTTTATTCAGTATTTTAACATTTGACAATCATTTTGATATGTACATAACATCAATAATGGTATTACTAAAATCACATATCTAAGACACCCACAGGAACTATGCTGAAAATTGAATTTACGTGAGTGTAAACTAACGTGGATGGAGTATATAGTTACAAGAGATGAAATTGATTATATGTTTTTACTGTTTTATACGATGCTGTTTGCAATAGAGTTATTTGCCCTGGAGTAATATTAAGAGAAGATACCAGTAATCAATACATTAAATATTTTTATAAATAAATAATAATATCGTCAGTTGTCTTTTTTTACATCCAAGTTCGGATATAGGCCAACCCCTTTGATTTCTATCTATCGATTATCGTACTATTGGTATTTGTGCTAGTGTTATATTGAGGTTAGGAAAATTTATTCTCGTGTTCGTTTCCCTTTCTATGACACATTTCTCCTTCTTAACGTTTTTTATCCGCGTCCCATGAATTTATATACATTTCTAATCCACTGGTTTTATTTTCTGCCTGCCATTTCTCATTTCTAACCTTCTCCTTTCCACCAAGTGACCTCAAGGCTTTTTCCTCTTGAGTATTCACTAATTTCTCCATATTTAGTTAGCCACTGTCCACATTTGGTATCACTGAGACCTATATGTCTCTTTAAATTTACTCCTCAACTCGTTTACAGTCTGTTTTTCGACTACCAGAGTCTCCTGTCCAACAATTTTTTCTTTTAGTAAATTTTTATCTAGTAATATGAACAACAAGTGTCCATTTTCTGTCTGTTTCCATTTCTATGTCATTTTCGTTACATATATCCGTTTGGTGCTCTTCCTGTTTTAACATTCGTCATTCCATCTACCTCTGAATATTCAGTAATCTATCCATAATCTTTGTCACTCCACGTTTGGCATCCGGATGTTATAATTGATAGGAAAACTCGTTCACAAAGTTTGATTTTCTGGATTTCTATCGAGAACTGTAATTGTCACATTGTTTTCAGAATATAAAGAGCATTTTTGCGATGTTTCATGTAATCTCTTTGGCCCGTGATGGTAGATGATTCGTGATTCGTTTATAATGATGACTGATGACGTATAATTGATAATTGAAGTTTCAATATGCTGGTTAAATGGTGGATAATTTGTCCTACTATCT